ATTGCCGATTTCACGAGGGTTTTTGTTTTTTTCACTTGGCCGAAAAAGGAGTCCGCGCCATTCTCGTCACTTCGTTACTTCGCTTAGCGCTGCGAAAGTTCGTAACTTTGATGGGAATTCGTGAAAGTTCGTGAGTTTGATGGCTTTCTGTCAAAGTTCGTGAGTTGGTATTCAACCTTGTCAAACGGCGACTCCTCGGCACATCACAGAGTGATGTGCATCAACAGCTTGCTGAGGTTGGCCGGTTAGGTTCCGGTTAGCTGGTTAGGGGTTGGAGGTTAGAGGTTTGGGTTAGGGGGTTACGGTTAGAGGTTAGAGGTTAGTGGTTAGTGGTTAGTGGTTAGTGGTTAGAGGTTAGAGGTTAGTGTTAGGCCAGGGTATCAATAGAAAAAAATCGGGGGAGAAGGAAATGATGGCCAGATTGATGCGTCTGATTTGTGTGGTTTGTTCACCTCACGAACTTTCCTGGGAATTCACCAAACTGACGAAGTTTCAGAGGTTGCCATCAAAGTGACGAACTTTCGCGAGTTTAAGCGAAGTAACGAAGTGACGAGGATGACTACTACCCCCGAAAAAGGTCACAAGATTTTTGTCAAATGGCTGATCGCAATCGAGATTCGGTATGAAATCTTTCCAGACATGCCCAACAGGTACAATCTTGACACAGATCAACATATGAACGAAAAATCCTCCATTAATTAAGCGGTCTTCTGGCGCTTGAATTCCCGCTTAGCCCTTCGCGCGGCCGCACCATCCTCATAATACGCCAGGTCCTCGCGCAAGTCCTTGTTTTCCTCCTCCAACTCCATAATCCTTCCGTCCTTCGCGCCACTCACACTGCTCAGGTCCTCAACGTGCTTCTGCTGCGCTGCGAAATTACTGGCCATCGCGTCGTACTTCTTGAACACATCGTAGCCCAATATCGTCTTGCTGAGTTGAGCGAGGGCCAGCATGTTCGATGTCGCTTCATCCAAGTTGCCGGTAGAGTCTTGGACGGCGCTTCCGGTCGCTGTTCAGTATCAGCCAATGGACACAAAATTGACCTTGAATTTGCCAACGTACTGGACACTTGGGACTTGGTGGATGTCTTTTGAGCGGATTGGCTCGTGGTAGAGGTTGGATTCGGATGAGAGCCGTTCGGTTTTTCTACAGTGCAAGTCTTCAACAAAATATATTTGAAACACCGATGCCCAGAGGCGCACCTGAGGCAACAGACTTAACGGTCGTGTCCCCTCCCATTTCCACAGCGAACGCCCTCCACAGCTTTCTTGCAGGAATCGTTGGTCCCTTGTATTCCTTGGAGGCATCGTGGAGTACAGGGCCAATCCAGCACAAACACTGAGCCTCTGGGTGATCTTCGCATGCCTTTGGGAAGGCGAACGCAAAGTGTTTGTTTTCATCGTCCCAAATGACGGTAGGGTAGAGCTTGTCGTATTTTCGGACTGTGATGCTATCCAGCGGCACACTAGGTACAGCGCTTTGCAACGCGGCGCGGAGACGATCGAGTCCCGGAAAGTCCGAGATTGGAGGGGAGGACAAGAGAACATCCCGCGCGTACTCTGTGACGGGCGCGTAGGCCCCAGATTGGTGCATGATATTCAAAGCATTATGCGAGACCTTGAACGGCGTCAAGCCAAGTTCGGAAAAGAGTTTAAGATTTTCGTCGGAACCTGCGTAAGGGTGAAGTGGCAAGGTAGTTGGGGCTGCCGAGCGGCGCCGCTGACACATTGCGGTGTCGAAAGCCCCTTATATTCAGACTTGCCGGCCTTGTTATTAGGAACAAGAATCCCTGCAAGCGCATTGGAGTGGTCATCTGTCAGAATATCGAGCGCGAGTTCAACCGCTAACTCAGGTAGAGTTCGGAATGCCCAGTCCATCGTATTGCGGACATCGCGCCTGTAATGGTTCATCTGCCAGTCGTTGCGGACCGAGACACGGTCCGAGCTCAGAGTGAGATTACCGCTGTAGTTGATGGAAAGTCTGTTCAGATGAATGCCATCCTTGACAAGCTGGTCCCGATGGTAGAATTTGGGCGTATCTCCGTCAGCGAAGAAGAACTCGACATTACGGCCCGGAGCGAACCATTGGCGTGGGGGAGGCATAATTCCATAAATCGCAGAGAACAAATACTCTGGCTGGGCGCCGACATCGACACCGATGACGGTGATACAGACCTCGTCTGCATTCACGACGGATTTATTGTTTGGTCCGTCAAGGCCGTACTTGATGCGGTTTTTTTGCGCCTGCTTCAAAATGGTGGCCGCTTTATCGCGCATCTTGGCCGTTTCCATGGCCGCTTCGTACACCTCCGGCACGCCACCATCCGGGGCATCGTCTATATCTGTGCGGACAGGTAAAAGACTAAACAGAGCGAGTAGCATAGTACGTGCCGCGATGGTATCGATGTGGAAGGTATTCGGAGACGGTGCGCGTCGTCAAGTCGTCGAGAATCAGGCGGAGTGAGTCTGCCGATCCGACCTTACGCGATTTCTTCCATTTCAATTCACCGATTTGTTCTCCAACACGAAAAGAGAGGCCAAGGGGAAAGGCGTTTGGCGCGGGCTTCCCGTTGGCAAGCTGGAGGCGGGGCGGGAGGTCTGCGACAGTTGTGGCTTTGGCTGCCACCGCCTCGTCGATCTGCTCCGCCAGATATTGGGTCGCCAATATGAAGCCTTTTCCCTTCTCTCCAACGGCCCATTGGTTGGTCTTGCTGGTCGATTCACCGTCGACCGCGAAACTTTCGAACGTCGCGTTGGCGTCTAGGTGGTTATTGAAGAAAGTGAGGGGGTTCATTGCGCCTCCCGTGGTCCACAGCACAATCGCCACCATGAGATTTGTTTTGAGGGGAACAGAGATTTGGGCTGATAGAATATACAGAGGTAGACAGTCCTTGTGTCTGAGCGAGACGCCGTGGGGTCCGGTGAGGAGACCAGGATAAGAGTCCATCAGCCAGCGTTTGCGCACGTCCCTCTCTTCAGCCGTCTTTCCCTGCAAAGGGAAAAATGTCAGAAACACCATCGGGATATCGGAAATGTCACTCAAACGCGAAGATCCTCTCTATCCCATGCTCCCCATGCGCGTACGTGAAGGTCTTTTAGTATCTGCCCCACAACATTCTGCACGTATTCTTTGATCGCGAATGGGACGTCGAAATGTGAAAGTTCCTCGGATTTTTTGGCCTTCCAGTCCCAGGCTGGTTTGGTGTTACGGGGTACCCAGGTTTTCAATCGGATTGGCGCCATGGTGGATGAAAAGGACGGCGTTTGGTAAGCGGTTGATCTTGATGGTGGCTGTGCTTGGTCCAAGCAAAACCGCAACTTCGATCAGCTTCAATTGAAAATACATGTACAGGGTTCACTTATCCTCAATGCGAACGTCGGGATCTTGGCCATGCCGGGCAGTTCCAATTCATCAATTGCGCAAATAGCCAGCTATGTGTCGATTTGTTTCGGCCTTGGATCAATCATCCTAGGCAAGATGGTTCTGCATTTCAATCATATGATGAACGTATATATCAGGGCTGCTATTATCGCGGAAGTAACCCGAGGCGGCCGATGCTGTCACAGCTGGACCGGTATGTCTTGATAATATGTTTTCTTTCCTCTGACTCCTAGTTTTCCAAAGGCATTAGGCTTCAAACAACATTGTCTCGGGGCATTGGAGGCGCGAGCAGTTTTATTTTCTCTGCCATATGTGTTCATAATGTGGGGGTGCGCTGATTATATCTTCTGAAGGCTGCATTTACTGACATTGCTCATTTGCGCTCAGGATGGCCGCATTTCTGTCCAGTTTCCTGATCGTGACCGTCGAAATGTACGCACGAGCGCCGTTGTACTGGCCACAGCAGCTGCACTCTCCTTGGCAATACTCAGTTCCATACTTTCCGCGCACGGTTGGGCCTTGCACGGATAATACGCGCTGTAACCGAGGCATTTCCTCGGCAGCCCTCGTCCCAATCGAGGAGACGCAGATGGAACAAAAAGATCGACTTTCTCCAATTCTGGCACCCGAGAAATGATCGTAATATGGTTTAGTGCGCTCGGCTGCAAATAAATGTATTTTATGTGGTATTATTCAGTCGATTGACCGAAACATCATAGATAGCATCCCGTCCTACTTGTCCTACTCAGCACTGCCCACAACAGTCGCAGCCGGAATTGCGAAGGCCGATCCACCGCCGCCGTTTTTCCCGTCCTGAACTGGTTCTTTTGAGCGGCCATCCGAAACGATGGCGGATCCTCCAGGACCTGGTTGGCCGTCGGAACTCGGCTGGAAAGTAGCGTCTGTGGCCTTCGCATCCGTGGATCGGCCTTTTTCTGTGCGGTGAAGCCGATGCCTCTCAACTGTATTGGCATGTCTTTTCCTGGTTTATCAACCCAACCGCCTTAAAACGTTCGCCGCCGTAGACCGTGGTGGCCGCTGTCCAATAGTGCTGCAATTGTTGATGCTTGACCTTCCGAGAAGGAGGTTCAATTCCTCACGGTGGCATACCAATTCGATGACGCAGTCTTTTCCCCCTTTTTTACCTTTTTGTTGATTGGGTGTGGTGTGCCTTTCTAATCTTTCAACTATGTTTTCGCGGCTGGATACCCCTTTGAACTTGATTCACACTTGACGTCATTCTGTGTACTCTGCCCAAATGCCTTCCCCTGCCTTGACGATTTAACCCAGCCACCTGTGGAAATAAGCCGCCGTGGACCGTGGTGGTCGCCGTCCAATAGTAAAAACCTGAGAAGGCATGACCGATGGAGGTGAAGGTTCGATTCCTCCCGGTGGTATTCCCGAGTGCTTTCATTTTTTCACCTTCCTTTCTTTTATCTTGTTTTTGGGAATCAATGTTGGAGTGGAAGCCTAGTCAGTCCCCTTTCCCTGTTTGAACCACATTCAAATGCTCACGAAAGAACCGGATATTCAGAGATGCAACTGTGCAAATTCCACTCCGCTTAGAGAAAAATCTCATATCTACGTTGAGTCATCGGATTTTTTATTGTTGAGTTGCAGCCACCGTGGACCGTGGTGGTCGCCGTCCAATAGTGAATGAAGTTTGGCCGACGGTTGACTGACGGAGGCGGAGGTTCGATTCCTCCCGGTGGCATAACATTGGACTTGAGTGCCTTTTTGCCTTGCTAACCACTCAGCTAATTTTTCTCCACGAGAACTCACTTCACACTTAGAAAAGGCATCTGTGAATGCAGATGTCTGTTTTCCGTTGTATCTTCGCATCGCGCTTGCTGATTTATCAACCCAACCACCGCTCGAATTAAGCTGCTGTGGACCGTGGCGGTCGCCGTCCAATAGTGTCCCCTCGAGATGCTGAACTGACGGAGACAGAGGTTCGATTCCTCCCAGTGGCATGTTTACACGTCCTTGTAATTTTTTACCTTTTCTTGGGAATCATTTCCGTTGGAGGGCAAGCCGAGGTCTGTTTGGCCCACATTTATATTCAAGTCCCCGCAAGGAAACCCGATGTTCAGACATTTAATTGCCTTACGATAATTGTAGTTATGTAACCTGCTATTTTTTTGCGATCTTTTGCTCGGCTCATTTGCGTCGAGGTCGTGGATATTTTAGCCTTCAATTCAGGCCGCTGTAAACCGTGGTGCTCGTCCTCTGTCTATGCTGACGGTCTCTTGGATGCTAGAGGGATCCGGAGGTTCGACTTAGTCTCTTATAAACAGACGCTACAACAATAGAGTGCTCATACCTCGCATGTTGTATCCACGGTCACCATTTTTTTCTTATGGCTTTTTTACGCTCACGATAGCTGAGTCGGGAGCAGAAAAAATACGTAACTGACTTGAATTAAATCGAACACAATACGATCAAACATCCAGATAAGGGTGGTCAAAGCGATATATTTGGATATAATTAAGGTTAGGGTTACGGCTACCAAAGAACGAAAAAAAAGGCCCACCCAGCCGAGTGGCCGTGGTGGAACAGGAAAATATTGAGACGGTGCATGCACCTAAGCACATACAAGCCGCAGGCGCACTCTGTATGGACAAGGTCGCCGTGCTATGGAGTGATCCCATGGCCCACAGACCCAGGGAGGTGAAGGGGCCTATGCCATCAAGGTAAGTATGAGGTGTAAAGAAATTTAGAAGACCTTTTTATACTACTGACGCGCGCACGGACCAGGTGTCATAGCCGATGTTTGTGAGGGTTATCGGATCAATATTTCCTAGATCGGGTAGCTTAGAATCTCAAGTTTTAGGGGCCAAGCGGGTCTGCGGAGCCTATGTAAATGAATTGAGACTTTTCTGGACTGTCCAAATCCGGTCTCAACAACGCCCACGTCCGAATCAGGAAAATATTTTCACGTGATGGATTTCGAAGTCAGTGTTTTGGAGGTCACGGTCTTGCCTTTTGCCTTCCCAACCTCAACTAAATTCTCTCGGCCCTTGAACTCAATTCGCAGACCTGTTCTTCCCTCTTGTCTTTGCATCACTCTTGCTGATCCATCAACCCAACCCAGCCACCCCGTGGAAGTAAGCCGCCGTAGACCGTGAGGTCGCATTCCATAGTAGTAAATTACGGACATGCTTAACCGACGGAGGCGGAGGTTCGATTCCTCCCAGCGGTATCCCCGGACGTTGAATCTTTTTCTTTTTTTGATTGCGGTGCATTTTACCTTTCCAATCTCCCGAGTACTTTTCTCAGCGGGTAACCAACCAGCAAGTGTAGATTGTCTCGACAAGCTCGAGGTAAAATTGGTCGACTGTAGCTCGATTCACACGGTATCCATTCTTTGCGGCATTTCATGGCTCTTGAGTGAAACATTGATCCGTAAATTAGCGAGTGTATTGGGCCCAGTCAGTGTTGCATTCAAGCCAGTGTGGGCCGTGACAGTCGCCGCCAGATACATAGTTATGAGGCTGCAGGAATATCTTAAGTGACTGAGGCGGAGGTTCGATTCCTCCCAGCAGCATACCCCGGAGATTGAATTTTTCTTTCTTTCTTTGATCGCAGTGTTGCCTTCCTTTCTAGCCTCTGAGTCAAATTTTATTGGTAGGCACACCACTTGGATTTGATGTGAAGGCTGAACGAGATTACTATACATACTGTGATATGTTTTTGCTTCTGGTATTGGCATCCCTGTTGCTCATTTATCAACCCAGCTACTTTTGAGGTGTCAAAGCCGATGTCTGTGAGGGTTAGCGGATCAATATTTCCTAGATCGGGGTAGCTTATAATCTCAAGTTTTAGGGCAAAGCAGGTCTGTGAAGCCTATGTAAATGAATTGAGACTTTTCTGGACTGTCCAAATCCGGCCTCAACAACGCCCACGGCCGAATCAGGCAAATATGTTCATGTGATGGATCTCTTCGAAGTCAGTGTTTGAAGGTCAAGCGATTTGTCGTGAACGCTTCCAGCTGTTATTTGAAAGCAAAGATCTCCCCGCACCGGGTTCGACTTGAATCGGCTGCGTGATCATCGGGAGACCACTTCTGCACGAACCAGCACAGGTCCCCTTCCCTGAATCAATCTTAACGCAACATCCAAGTTTTTACCCCTCCTTTATATGTACTATGTCTTGGAAGGCATTCTTCAGCCTACTCGCAGCAGCAGAAGGTGAGAGGGTTCCATGGATCGAACTGGTCTGGCTCCCTTGGGATTATCTCAGGTGTACCAATATAAAACCATGCCCACCATTGAAATGGTCGGCATGGCAATCAATGTTCCGGGATGAGGACCAACGGATGGTTTCAGACATGTACATATGTTCACCATGTTTCGGTGCACAACATGTCGTCAGTCGGGCATTGTCGTGAGTCGGGATACTGATAACTCATATTCGCTGTGACTCGTGTGAGACATCCGTGGAACGCCTGGCATAACTTGAGTCAACCGACTGATGACTTTAATTCCCAAAGAGGGAATTGCGGATCCATTATACTCGCCGACACCACTGAGATGTGCTTTCTGAATATACCCTCAGTTAAAGCGTCTTCGGACCAGATAAATAAAGGGACTTACGAGCGGCCCGAAGCAAAGAAAGAAACCTTCACGAGGAACATAATGGATTCAGAGACCAATAATAATTTCCGCCAACCTTTGGCCTGCACACACGAGAGAAGACACTTGAACCAATAATGGCGTGCGGAATAATTGAGAAAGCTAATACAGGAACGTCCAGACTCTTCAGGATTGTGGTCTCGGAATCGGCCCATTTGATTTGCAAGCTGCGCAATGAAAGAGTAATCGGAGAAAAAGGGCCAGCATCAACGAGAGAGATACACAACCGTTGGATTAAGAGTATAAACAACAGAATAGCCCTAGACTACGCACTGACAGACGCAACAAAATACGGAAAGAAAAGTATCTAGAAATCGTCCGCAAAACCTGGTGTAAAGTTTGTGTAACTCCCTGATGACTGGACGAGGGAGACCGGGGTTTTAGTGGGTGTTGGCTGAGCTGAGACAATGAAGGTCGTTTGCGACCCGAGTCGATGAAGCAGAGCTGAATCCCCACACCAGTACCGATAGTTTACCAGTGTGTTAATAAGCACATCTCCCAGGGCGGATGCAACTCATCTGTCAGGCCGGGTCTTTTTTAGTCCAAGGCCAATTTATTAAATGGGTGGGGCAAGACAACTAGGTTGGTCGGGAAACGGAGAGCAGAAATGCTCCTTGTCCCCACTACGCAAACGTTCCGCAAAAAAAAAAAAAAAAAAAGACACTTGACCCGGGCCATCTGAGTACTCGAGTCAAACTAAGGTCCGACAAGTTGCCGCGTTGAACAAAGGAGCAGCGCAACTGAAAGAGGCAATTCCTGGGAATCTCAAGGCAACACACAACGGCGTAGATGCCGTGCAGTCACGAAAATAATGAGTCGAATGGTCGAATGGCCGTTTGATGGAAAGGTCAGAATTTCAACGCCGTGAATTTATCCAAGATCCAGCCTCTGCCCAGGACTTACGAAGCCATTGTATTAGGGTCAGTCAGAGTAACTCATTTCGACGTTTCTGGGGTCGTTTCTGAAGTCGTTTCTCGAAGATTTTGGCATCATAAACGTGAGGAAAAACAACTTCGGATATATTTTGGTGGAGAAACGACTTGCAGAAACTCCTCCAGAGGCGTTTCTGGGGCGTTTCTCGTTTTTCCCACACTTTAATTCTTTTTCATAATTCGAGAAACAACTCCAGAAACGAGTCCAGAAACGATACATTAAAACTTACTCTGACTGACCCTATTGATTCTTTGCTTCAAGTTTTTTTGAGCCACTCGAAACCCGCCCAAATTAATTAACGCTGCATGGTTTCCAGTGGTGGCCCTCACCCATCAGCTGAGATTCTAGAGTCGTTGACGCTCCCTCATGATTAGTAACTGCTGGCTTGAAACCAGTGGAACTACCTTGGAACTACCGTGCTCAAATTTCCTTCGATGAAAAGAGTCCCTGATGAACAACGCAAATACTGAACTGAATTTGACACGCAACGCCATGGAATCCTGATCAAGATCTCTTGCTTGGACGCATTAATGCCAGTGTTGCATTTGACCGCACAGTCTGAATCAGGGTCGGCCACCGATTGAGACGTTCTTTTCATCTCCTCCCGGATCGTCCTTGTATTTCTGCACAATATTTCTTTTTCCCTGGATCGCTGCCACAAAATCGCATATAGATATCGATCCCACTCCTCCTTCCGACTACGTACCTCCTTGTTTATGGCACAGAAAATATCCAGACAGTTCGATTCAACCTTTATCTGCTGTTGAATTCAACATTGATCCATCCACAGATAACCGATTCCAAGCCCATCCGATCCGATCCAACGCAGTCCACCCGTCCTGATCAGCGCACTGAATGGGAAAATTCCATCCTGGCTCCACAGAAGAAAATTTATCACGGCATATAGACAAGGCATATCTCGCTGATGTTCCCCCCCTTGCGCATACTTCCAACATTGAAGCTGCCGATTCTATGGGTGATGCCCCTTCGTCTCCAATTCCCACCATACGCCAAAAATGTATGTGTCTCCACGATTATGTAAATTTGGTCTCGGTTCAACTATCCCCAAGATATACAGTAGATTTGGCACGACGGAACCGGGTGCGAAAGACTGGCTCTCAAGCTCAGACATCACTGTAGAGCATCT